TCTCTCTGAGCGAACGACGAAGGAGCCAGGAATGCGAGCCATCCTTCTGCAGGGCCTCCAGCTTCACGCGGAAATCCTTCCCCGAAGCCGGCAGCTCGACGCATCGCTCCTGCGTTTTGAGGAGCCACATGTCGTGGGTCTTCTTGCTCAAAGCCTGTCGGATGCAGTGGCGCTCCTCGCCCATGCAGCATTCCTCCAACTTGTTGCACTTCTCGCCTAAGTTTTGACAAAACGAGTGCAAGATTGCACACTCCGAGTTCTCCTGCAGGCAGTTGATGGTATCCAAGTTCTCAATCTCCACCTCCTCTGGTGGGGATGCACAATTGCATGCATAGCCCTGTACAAAGGGATGAGAAAACAGTATGTTCAGCCTATACAAATGTGTATATAATCTCTGTTATTTCCGAATTTTTTATAGCAGCTTTCATAAGCTACGCACATTCCATTGTACTCCATTCCAGCTCTGCCAAGTTGTTCCATTCAAGCCAATATTGAAACACTACACTCTAACCCACTTCAGGCATAGTCAAAGAGAAAAATATTTTGTGCAATATAAAAATGGCCTCCTTAAACGGAAAAAGGCAGTGTAAGCCTGACTTCCAGAAAGATCAGGAAGTCAGGCTTATACTACATCTGAGTGAATGACCACAATTACCTAATGGGTAAAACTGGTAACTTGCAATGTACAGGTCAAGTTTCCATTGATTACACATTCACACTTCACAATACATGAAACCCTATGGATGAGGAGTGACTGGCAGGTGATCACACAATCACATTATATAAATATCCTTATGTGGATTCTTTAAGGATATCAGTTCATTCTCCTGTTACTCATTATTGAAATTCAACTGCTATAGTCAACATGTAATATTATACAGGTCATGACTTGAAGGATAACAAGGGAATGATGCTCTGCACCATCCTTGAAGTAAACAACCTCTCCTGGGTCAATACACGTGTCAAAAACGACTGATATCGTACTCATGCTGAACTAAATTTGGAGAAATATCTATTACATTACTATAAACTCAAGTTTGTAGTAATGTAGCCCACCTCCATACTCACATTGAGTGCATAAGGAGATCAACACCTACTACCAGAGAAGGAATAGTCCAATTACACTTACTTTCACATGAATACTTGAAATATTAATCAGTGGGTCCTGGATTAATTAGAAGAGTGAAAATTGAGTTCTGACAGGAACAAAATGGTGAGCTATATAGTGGTTGCATCCTATCCTATACACAATGGAGTAGTGAATACTATGCACTGACACAAATAGAATATATTAATGACTGAAAATGTATTGATTATTGATAATAATATTGAATGCTGAATATTAAATAAATGTATTGCATATGAATGCAAAAAAAATAAACATTTTCTGTATTGAAAAAATGAATACATATTCACTGACTCCTTGAAAATCACTCAATACTAACCCCACCTGCTAAACTCACACATAGGAAGACTCATAAATTACAAACTGCTACATAGAAGTGGATCATTGAGAAGCTAATATCAATTTGGGAAAAGCAACTAAACTGAACCAAGAATCTGTACACCATGATTGGTAAGCTTACTAAGCATTTAGTTTGCATTATTTTAATCACCCAACAGCAATATTCAAACTCAAAAAGGAAATGTGAGACAGAAGACTACCTTGGTGGAGTTGGGAATAGAGGGGACCTCAGATGTGGAGATGACCTCAATGCTCTCTGATGGTTCGGAGTCACGGTGGATGTTGACAAAATCACTCTCTGGCTCCTCATCGGCCTCGGGAGTGTGTTTCAATTGGGCCAGCCAATGCTCCAGATCCCCAGACTTTCCAGTCTTTT